TAGAAGTTCACTCAGAGCTCAACTGTGCCTGTTTTAACATTCAAAACATTTCAGTGGGCTATGGCATTAAATGGAAAATGGCATTTTAATCCAAATTTACATGATGTGCTTCAGTTTGGCAGTTTTGTTGATTGTTTTCATCAATTGTCAGATGACAAGGCGTCACAATGAATTATGAAATGCAATTTTCTCCGCTCATTTCCTCAATGGTGCTTTTGTTTGGTACTCTTCGATTAATAATTCATGGTGTGCAGTTTCCTGAGGTGTTGTTGTTTTTCTTTCAAATCTCTTATATTTGCCCCCCAACATGCTAACATGTACAAACATGCATATTTATCAAGTATATGTTATATTAACCACGCTTAACATGTTAGTTTAGAAGATAAATTAAAATTGCGAATTAGCACTATACAAATCAGAACTGAGGTCCAGAATATTTGTTAATAAATATTAAATTCAGAAGGAATCCTGCTGATCCCTCACCATGAAAGATGTTATTAGCTCTAAAACAGAAGTCATTTAGATGGTTGTTGAGGATGATTCCAGTGCTTGAAGAGAGGACATTGGACCCAAATCTGTAAAGAGTAAACATTAAATGAACGAAGTCTAAACCCTGTGACACTGTGTTGTGGAAAAGTCAGCTGGTTTCTAACAGTGAAACAGAATGATGCAGGTACGGACTCGTCGTTGATGCTGCTGGTGACAGACACAGCAGATCCATCTTCAGCCAGCACAGATACATGTGTGGTGCCGATGCTGTCCAGATACGAGTTTTTGCCGTAATACTGGGGATCGTGAGTCTTGTCGCTGCTGATCAAGCTCCGTATGTGGTTGGCAAAGCTATCCTCTGTCAAATTCTTTGCCATCTGTGTGAAATACAGAGAATTAATCAAACGAAATAAATAAGCACATTACAGAAAATACATTGATATCAAGAAAATTAACAATTTACAGCCAAATATTAACAGAATTTTGATCATTGATGCATCACTGACGCTGCTGGTAACGAACACAGCAGAAGCATCTTCAACTAGTGACTTGCAAAGTCGCAATCTCACCCCAGCAAATTAACCGAAAGTCTGACTGTGCAATGCTCAGAGATATTACAAAAAACTTCAGACCTCAACTCATTATCAGTGTGCATAAACCGACTGTGGTGGGAGGTGGTTTGTGGATGAGCTGCAGGCGGGGGTGGAGCACAGGGTTCAGGCAGAGCAGAGGCTGATGTGGTATTGCTGCATTTACTCGTTTAGTCACTTAAATATAAATCATACTATATGCAACGAAGCAGGTGCAAATTTTGAGATACTTACTTTATCTGAGCTGAACTTTGGATCTCTGATATTTGTCTTTAATTCATTGGCAAATTTTAAAGCTTCAATATAACGGTGATAAAACAAAATCTTTTCATCAGTCGTCTTAGGTTCTGATTTCATTTTGTATCCTGAAAATATAAATAATTGTTTGTTTTTTATTTAAAATGTTTAGTGCATCACATTTGTAAAGATTGATAAGGATCATTTTCTTATATGAAACAAACTCTACATGCTATAAGCAACAATCAGGAACCTTTCATGATGTTGAGGATGAAGCTGAGGATGGCTCCCCCTGCAGGGGGCGGAGGGAAGTACATCCGGTACTCTCCCAGAGAAATATTCCACGCATCAGTCACATTAGTTTGATACGAAGCCAAGTCCTCCAGTGTGAGTGTTCCTCCTGAGCAAAAACATTAAAACAAATGATTTTGAATGGATCCAGACAGATCGCAGTGTAGCACACAGTGATCATGGTCGATTTTTCCAGAACGAATCGATTTGTTAATTTGTAATTAGATCATTGTGCCTGGCAAACATAGAAAACGGTCAGAAAAGAGAGCAGGATGAATCCTGTCTGATAATACCTGCTTTCTGTATGTCACTGATTAAATTCTTCGCTATTGTTCCGTTGTAAAACACATCTGGTCCCTCGTTTGCGATCGTCTCCAAAGTGTCAGCCAGTTTCTCAAATTTCACAGTATCCCCGGTCTTAAGCAGGTTCCCATTTTTATCTAAATATAACTTCCTAAAAGACAAAGACAGTGAAATAATAATAATGGATTGCATTTATATAGCGCTTTTTCGGGGCCCTTAAAGCGCTTTACAAT